GGCGGAAGCGCGAGCCGGGCGCCCTCAGCGCCTCTCTAGGAAGCCGGGAGGTGCCCTTCTCCATGGTTCCGCCGAGCCGGCCTCCCCCGCCGCCCTCCAACCCCAGGACGCCCCCAGCGCGGGCGCTTAGCCTTCCCTCTTATCGCCTGGAGTTGACGGTCCTTCCTCAAGGGCAGAGGTCCCACGTTATGCTTCTCGTGATGCTCTGAATTCCCGCTCTGACGACCACGGGCAGCAACTTAACCTCTAATGAACTGAAAGCCTCCGCCTCCCGCTTATTGGCTGATTGACGGGACTGTGACCTGAGATCACGAAGTCCGGGGTCTGCCTGGGTTCAAATCCTGACCCCACCACTTATTTGCTGTATGGCCTTGTGAAAGTTACTTAATTCTGTGTCTCACTTTCTCAGTTGAGAATGGTTATAGTTTGAAGCTAAATTCAAAGTATCAACTGAGTCAATTCATGGAAAGCACTTAAAACTTATGGTTCTGTACTAAATAGTCAAAATAAGTGCTAGTTTAGTTGTTGCTGACATTTTTATTAGTCATGCGCCACTTAACAACGGGGATACATTCTGATAAACGCATTGTTAGTTAATTTCGTGGTTGTGGCAACATCAGAGAGCACCTACACAAACCTAGATGGTATAGCCTACCACACACCTAGGCTATATGGTACAGCCTATTGCTTGGAAGCTAAAACCTGCATAGCACCTTCCAGTACTAAATACTGTAGGCAGTTGTAATACCATGTGTTTGTGTACATAAACATATCTAAACACAGAAATGATACAGTAAAAATAGTGTATAAACGATGAAGGCTGTACATTTGTACAGGGCACTTACCATGCATGGAACTTGCAGACTGGAAATTGTTCTGGGAGTCAGGGAGTGGTGAGTGTGAAGGACTAGGACGTTACTGTAACACTATTGTGCACTATAAACACTGTACACTTAGGCTACACTAAGTGTATAAAACATGAGGTTAAGGAGGCTGCTGCCCACATAACAGGAAATAGTGTTTTGCAGCATTTTTTTATGAGTAGAAAGAGTACACTGTAACTATATAGTAAATACATAAGTAGTAACATAGGTGTTTATTACCAAGTATTACATACTGTACATAATTACACCTGCTACACTTTCATGACTGGCAGCCGACTTTCCACCAGCATCATCACACACACATAACACGTTCAGCTACCATGTTAGGAAGGCTATGGTCACTAGCGGGTAGGAATTTTTCAGCTCCATTATAATCTTACGGGACCAGTCCGTATTGACCCAGAACATCATTATGCAGCACTTGACTGTATTCCTGTGTACATCGCTTTCCTGTAACACTTCATCTTTCTCCGGTGGAGATATAATAATCATGGCAATAGTGCTCCCTGCTGGCCAGGCATTGTGCAGACAGCTTTGAGTTAACAAGCTATTTATCAACCTATTTAAGAGCCTGCTCATTTCTGCTTGGCCATCCCACAAGTTCCTAAAACTCAGGTTCCAGACTAATCCCATTCTTTCCTCAACCTGTTTACAGATGAGTAACTTGGTTGGCTGGAACAAGAAACTCAACAAATTCTGGTTCGTCTCTGCATTTTCCAACACCACCTAACCCAGAGTAAGAGCAAGGGCCTTAGATGATGTCCTTCAAAGTTCTCAAGGAAAATCATTTTGCATCTAAAACTCTGTTAAGAGCTAATCTATCACACAAGACATATTGTGATATGTATTTGTTCTTTGTCCCCAGTTCCTGATATGAGAGGCTTCTAAAACTCTTGGAATGTCTTTTTGTATGCTGACTGGTGCCACCTAGATGAGTTCAGGGTCAGCAGAGGAACCAACCTGGAATTGGAAATACGCGGCTTAACTTTCACCTCCTCCACCCGGCCGAGGGGCTAGAGATTGAGTTCACCAGTGGCCAGTGATTTAATGAACTGTGCTTACGTAAGCCTCCAAAACCCTAAAGGGGTACTGCCTTCAAAAACCTTACAGGTTGGTAAACACATGGTGAACTGAGGGTGGGAAGCTAGAGGGCCTATAAGCTTCCCACCCCTTCCCTACCACCTTGGCCTGTGCATTTCTTCCATTTGGCTGTTCTGAGTTTTATCCTTTATAATAAACTGGTAACAGTATTTTCCCAAGTTCTGTGATGAGCTGTTGTAGTAAATTATCAAACCTCAGGAGGTAGTCCAACTTACAGCTGGTTGGTGGGAAGTACAGAAGGCCTGGGATTTGTGCTTGGCATCTAAGTGGGAGTAGACCTCTAAACCTGTGGGGTCTGATGCTAACTCAGAATTGAACTGGTTGGTGTGGGAGGAAAAACAGTATTTACTATGAGAAATGCTGTAAGAAATTGTTCATTTGGGGCAAAGTAATACTTTTAGACAAGCTAAGTCTATCACTCATGAAGCCTAGCTGAAAGATACACTAGAGGACACAGTAAGTGAAAACCAGAAAAATTAATCCAAGAGGAAGAGGTGGGACGGTAGCAGTAAAATCAAGAAACCAGTAAGATCGCTTATTTAGGCCTACTAAGTGCCCCCTTAGTTGGTTTAGACACAGCGATTTTTCAACCCTTTTTATCTCATGGCACACATAAACTACCAAAATTCCGTGGCACACCAAAATATTTTTGACAATCTAACCAAAAAAAGGTATACTTTTTGAGTCTCTAGACAACTCACCACCCCTCAAATAAGGATAGGTAACCTGAAATTGCCTCCATTTCCTCGATCACAGAAGCTATTATATTAACACCACATGCCTATTAATACCAAGCAAAAATGATTTTGTCCATTACCCATCAGGTTCAGGAAACCAGCTTTTAGTTAGAAATGATAGGCAACCAGACTTATATTGCTTGTATATTTTCCCAGTATATTTTTATAAAAAATTTTACTTAACCCTCAAGTATCAAAAGCTGCTACAATTTTATGTATTTAATGGGAAATATATTTGTACAAGAAAAAAAAGCACCTGGTCTTCTAATTGTCATTTCCCATGAGAACATTAACTAGTTACCATTTGATGTGACGGCTTTATACGATCTGAAACTGGGCAGAATGAGACAAAGAAACTGATTTTCTTACGACACCAAGAATCCTACTATCAATATACTTCACAATCCCTGCCCCAGTAAGAGACTAATCCACAATTAAGTAGATTTGCCAGTGTGTTAGAAAGAACCTTTATTACTTTTATTATAGCCTCTTATGTTCTCATGCTTTCTTGCCAGATGCCTTGGGAGCAGGTGCTTTCTGGGCTGGAGCTTTCGGACCCTTTTGAGCTTTTGGAGGCGCTGCCTTCTGGCCTGCAGGTTTCTGGGCGGGAACCTTCTGGGCTGAAGCCTTCTTGCCTGCTGAGGTCACTTTTTTTGCTGGAACCTTTGCAGCAGCTGCTGCACCTGCAGCTGCAGCTGCAGCTGCACCTTTAGCAGCAGCAGGTGCTTTTTTGGGAGAAGCTTTCAGGAGAGCTGCCTTTTGAAGCTTCTTAACTTCAAGCTTGATTATTCGGTTCCTCTGAAAAATTTCAATGTTAAGTATTTATCATACATGCATACAAAAAACTATTGTCACGCGTGTGTGTGTATATACACATACATACATATACATATATAAAATAATGTATACAAGACAATCCTTATGTCTTAAGACTCCTATGAAGTCAACTTTGGTCTACTAAGCTTGGACAAACAATTACCAGACAAACAAGTTTAGAGTTAAAACATAACAATCCTGTAATAATTAAGCTTACCATTTTCTTCGCCTTCATGACCTTGTAACGATCAAAATCTGTCATCTTGGCTTTCTGTTAAGGAAAAAAAAAAAATCTTTTATACCACCTTCCAACCCTCCAAAAGAGAAGGGTTCAGAATTCAAACAAGTGTAAGTCACTACCTTTTCTCTGGCTTCAATCTTCTTGGCCCATCTCGTGGCTGACCATTTTGTATTGATATCTGCCTTCTGCCAGGCTTGTCGAACATACTTCTGGCGGGCACTAGAGTCAAGACCAGAAATTAAGAAATCAGCTTTGAAGCCACATAGCTCCAAGGACAGCTTCATGTCTTCTGAAAAGTAGAACTGTTATCCCCTCTCAAGTTAAAAAGCGTAAGAAAAATGACACCTAAGGTACCCTTATTTGTTATACTTCTAGTTCTAGTTGTCTCTAGAACACATACCACCTCTTGGTGTTCACTAAGCCAGGATGTCTTATAATCTCAAACACACAATAAAAAAAGCAATCAGCCCATGTTTAGGATTTTAAAATTACCTCTTATCACGTCTAGAATATCATTCAAGTAGTGGATGTGTAGAAAACAATTTCCTTTCATAAAGAATGTGGTCAAGTTAATCCTTAGACTTAATGTTTTTATTTTGTACAAAAATACTTAAAAGATTTGTGGTCAAACAACATAGAATCCAAGTATATCATTTTGAAATTTCTCCCAAATATTTCGAGTATTAAAGCCCAGTATGCTTAAAAAATAAACTAGTTACAGCACATGTTCCACTGCAATCAATCGTCACTGCAGTTGTGAGAACCATATAGCGCAGCAAATCTGGGTAAAGCCAGAGAACTACCAGATCACAGCGCATTTAAAAAGGAAACAATGCCTGTCAACACTGTGAACTCCTCTTCTGAATCGCTTCCATTCAACACTGCTCACCATAGTCTCAAGGGAAAACCAGTAAAACAACACACACACTTTTTTCTGATTTAAACTAAGAAAACTTTCTCTAGTATATAAACAAAGCTGGGAGGCTGTGGTTGGATAGTTACCTGTGCGGGAACTTGAGGATGAAGTCAGTGAGCTGCATGCATTTGAAAGGCATGGCCTGTCTCCTTACTTGAGTGCAAGGGCCATCAACCAAAGCCTGGAAAACATATGTAAGATCAAAACCTCGGTGCAAAACCCAAGTGTTCAAGCTGCATAAGTCTGTAAAACACGTCCTTTCAAAATCACACCCCTCCGTGGTAGCACAGCGCATAACCCAACTACACGTAATTTACTTGACAATTTTCAGTCCTCACTCCTTACATTCCCAACAAACAACTGAATGTTCATTCACGGCCTTGGGTCAACCCCTTCGTTTGTGGTCCTCAAAAAAATGACGACAGCAAACAACGGCTCCCCTATGCGCCCAGCATCCTTCTAAACCCACTGAAACCTCACCAATGTTTCACCCACAATTAGTTAAAAGCTCTGGCTAATGTTAGCGGCAGAGGCAAACCCCCACCGTGCACGGCCCAGCTCTCCCCTAAGGAAAGTTAAAGCCCTCCCCCGGCACCCCCACCCCCGGGGCCGCTGGGCTCAGGGCTGCACCCACCCGCTGCCGTGTGAACTGGGACCCTTTCCCCAACTTACCCGGTTCTGATCGATGACATCGACGATCGCCACCAGCTTCCCGGCGTGGGGCCCAAAGGAGACGTAGGCCACCCGGCCAACCTCCACGAAACGCCTGAACACCTAACACG